CCCGGGCCCAAGATGGCGGCGGCCCCGGCGGAGGCCGCTCCGGGCCGGGAGGGGACGGCGACGGCCGGGCGGCGGCCGCAGAGCGGGGGAGGCGGCCGCGTCCTGCCTACCTTTGAATTTGAGGTCTGTGGGCGGGTCGAGGACCAAGATCTGCTCGTGTTTCGCCATGGCCCCGGAGGCGGACGCCATCGGAGACAGCGCAGAGCGGGGGCGCGCCCGCGGCGGCGGTCTGCGGGCTGGGCGGGGGCGCGGCCGGGCTCGGCCGAGCTGTAGCGCGGGGCCAGGCTCCGGCCTCAGGCCTCGACGCCTGTCGCTCGGTTGTGAGTTCGCGGGGCCGCCGCGGGGTCAGCAGCTCCGACTCTCACAACTGACTCAACCCCACACAGCCACCGCGGCCACGCGCACTGCGATCTTCGGCGCCCCACGTGACGGCCCCTGCGTGCCTACGTGCGCGTCCCCGCCGCCGCCAGCCGCTCACGCCCCCCCCCGCCCCCCCGGCCGGCCTCCGCGACGCCGGCGCGGCGCGTTCCGGCTCTCCACTGCTCCCCGCGTGGTGCAGCTGTGAAGGAAAAAGGCGTGACAGGACCCGTGGGGCAGACTCAGAGCGGTGCAGGACAAGGGCGAGGCCTTCGGTCACAACGAGTTCCAAGGACGAAGCTAAGAGCCTGCAAACAGCGGGAACGTTGAGGAGCAGCGGGAACAGTCCTGGAGCGCCGCGCCCGACTCCCAGCATGCCCTGCGTGGGGGCGGGGCTTCTGCTGACGGCCGCGGTGCCTGCCGGGAGCTGTGGTCCGGGCGCTGCGGGCGGGAAGGAGACTGGGGTGCTGGCAGCCGCTGGTGGCCGTTGGCCCCGCTGTCGACCTCGAAGGGCGGGCCTCCCGCTCAGAAGCGGAAAGCCGAGCGCAGGCTGCCCTGAGGCCCTGGCTAGAGGTGTAGACCCGCCTGTGAAGGCGTTTAGGGCGCGCCGGCGTAACCCCTCCACATCCGAGGAAGCTCAGAGTCCTCTGTCGCGTCGATGTTCGCCCACTGATGCAAGATTAGATGAAGACACACAATTCTCGTAAGGAGCAGATATGTACACGTGTCATAGGGGAATCTGACCAGGCACCCCTAAGCCAGGAGTGACCACAGGTCCAGCGCGGAATTCGGGTCTAGTCAGCGCCTCCCTTTGATTCATGTTCAACCCGAACGGGAGCAGTTGTTAGTTCGCACATTAGGAACGAATTCCATCAGCCTCACTCACGACAGCCTGTAGTAAATTGAACCAAACAGAAAAATCACAGCAGCAGAGTTGCTGGCGAATCTTCCACCGGTTACCTGCATACTCAGCCCCGAAGATAGAAAAAAAACAAATGGGCTGTTAAATAAACCTTTACTGTGTCTTATGGTCCCGCTTGGATTAAATCCTTAAGAAACACCGGGAAACAGGACATACCGATGCTACTGGCTTGAAGAAGCTGCCCAGTTTGTCTAGAAAATGAATGAGATACACGGAACAGTCTTAAACGTAGGCCCAGAGTCCAAGCTTTCATGAGCAGCCCGGGTAGCAGAGCCCACCCAGGAAGAGCTCTCCAGGGTACTTAACTCAGCATCCACAGAAGATTGTGCCACACAGCGCTGTGTCTTCAGCCACGAAGAGGTTGGGAAGATGGGAGTGTCTACATCGTTTGAAAAGCATGTTCTAAATTTACCTTCCCTTGGAATTCCTCTTATTCACAGTTATTTTGAAATATCAAACTCACTAAGGGAGAATACACAAACTCCGTTATTAAAGTGAGAGTTAATGTTTGGTTTTTTAAAGGCTGTGGTTGACAGCTCACAGGATGGTGTCCTATGTATGTTTAGTTGTGAATTGACCACCCAGAAAGTCCTCAAACTCCACACAACCTTTTGCCTGCCCAAGGCTCTCTTTTCATGGGCAAGCTGACTTTGATTAAACTGGCTCGTGCACTGCTGGATAGATACCTCCCTTACTAAAAAGCATTTGAGGACCTACAGTTTGCAAACAGCCAATTAAGCTAGCACACAGAGGAAGTTGTTGGTCACTCCCCTGAATAGTTGCCCATTCCTCATGGGTTTAATGGGAAGCCTGGTTGGTTAGATTCCAGGTTCCATCCTGTATCATGAAGAAACCCTGCCCCTTTAAGCCATTTATCATTGGAATCAACTGTTTTTCTCAATATTGCTACAAAAACCATATAAGTATGATCTTAAGATCTACAAGAAATTAAATAGCTGATATTCTAAGAATACATGAAACATCTTGGGATTAATCCCCCTTTTCCTACTTAGGGAATTACATTAATAAAGACTCAGTCCTGAATTACCTAACCCTTATCAAATAGTCCACTAATGGTTGGTGCTTTGGTATTTATTAGTACCTTTTTTTTTTTAGCAGTAAAAATACAAATGTCATCACATGCTGCTCAGAACAATTTTACCAAAGTTGGCAACCGTTGCTTTTGTGGTTAAATGTGGAAATGGAAAGCATTTTAAATGTGAGAGCATTTTGTGGCAGTAACAGAGCTACACTGAGGACGAGGAGTGCCTGCCTGACTTTCTTGTGTTCTTGCAAAAAGCCTTTCTTCCCAAAACCATGATAAAATGGCAGCCCATAGTGATCAAGGCAACAATTTTTTTTTTTTTTTGAGGCAGGGTCTCATTTTGTAGTTTAGGCTGGCCTCGAACTCACTTTGTAGGCCAGAGCCCAGGCTGGCCTGGAACTCACAGTGATCCTCCTGCCTCAGCCCCCTGAGTGTTGGTATTACAGGCATGCGCCCCCACACGTGGCTTCAAGGCAGCAATTTGAAGAGTAATTGACATCTATTGTTTAGCAATTAGGAATATTGGAACAAGGGGGCTAAACTTCATTGTTTGGTCCTTTTTAAATTGATTAATGAAACAGAAAGGGCTCTTGAAGTATTAGTATGTACATATATATATGGTCTTAAGCATATTTCTCTAGTAAATTAATGAATATAAGAGGGCTTGAATATTATTTCAACTTGTTCACATCTCTAATAGTATTCATCTTTGGACAGATGATTTCTTGTGGTTTTCAAATGGTATAAAAGTGTACCTACCTTCTCCATAGTTAAACAAGCTTTGCTATAAAAGTACACTGTAATTATGAATGTGCTTATGAGCAATTCTCTGAGTAATGCAATGCAGTGAACAGTTAAATGGACATGCTACCAATAAAATTGAGGTAGCAGCAAAGTATAGTCAGTACATACAGGCTTTAGATCTGAACTTCTGGATTCGAGTCCTGATTTCCATTGTATATTTTAGCAACTTAACTGTACCTGTTTTATATCTATAAAATAAGGATAATAATAATAATGCCTATATCCTGGGTTTATGTGCCAGTTAATCTTGTCAACTTAACTAGAAAGAGTCCTATTGAGGTGACTGGGGTCATTAATGGATTAATCCAGTGATGTTCACCACTGAATGTCCTGTTAGGAGTTAGAATGTGCAGGTGGAGGTCATCACAGAAGGTGTGCCTCGGGAGGGAATATCTCTCGCTGATGCTCTTCCCCTGACCCCTCCTTGAAGCTGCCATGAAGAGAGCAGCTTTGCTCCACTGCAATCTTTCAGCTTTGGAACCAGCTGACCATGGACCAAAACCTCTGGAAACATGAGCCAAATAAACTATTTCCTCCTTAAGTCATGTACGTCAGGCATTTTGTCCCATCAACAGAATAGTTGGTTGTAAGGATTAAATGAGTTACTAAAAATGAAGAGCTTGGAATAGTACCTGGATCCAGCACTGTAACTTTATTAGTGTTAACTGTTAAATCATTGCTGTGTGCATGGCACTGTGGCAGGTTCTGGTAACTAGTGGGAGACATGGCTTCTACCCTTACGTTCAAGCCAGAGACAAACGTGGAATAACTACACGAGCGTTGTATTCCAGTTGTGGTAAATATTAGGAACAGAGAGTCCAGGTTGGTGTGAAATTAATGGTGGGAACTGAGCCCAGAGTTTGGGATGTGACAAGGGTATGGATATCCCAGATCAAGGGAACGAACAGCCTGTGTAAAGCCTGGGCTGAGCACAAGCACAGCTCATTCAGAATCACGGAGGGGAGGCCAGTCAGTGCACTATGGTGAATAAGCAAGAAGTGAGCAGCAGGAGCTGAGGCCAGGAGGCCAGTTTATGCAGATTGTTTGAAAACAGGAAGCCATCAAAGGGTCTAAACCATGGAGAAGTGAAAATAACCTTTTAAAGGCCTGTTGGTCGCAGTGTGGAGAATAATTGGATTTAAGAGAATAGAGGAAAGATGGGGAGAACTGTTAACATTACTGCTATGATTCATAACAGGATGATATCACAAGATGATACCTTGAGCTAAGGTAGATGCAGTGGAGATGGAGGAAGATATGGATGGATATTTCAGTGGTAGAGTCAATAATCAGTTGCTAATTAGATTCCAGATGGTATGGGCAAGTGAGATACTGAGAGATGATTCCCTCTGTCATGCTCAGGTAGATGGACGGCAGTGCCATCCATGGAGAGAAGCGTTTGGAGGGAGGGCCAAGTTCTGATGCTGCCATGCAGGCAGGAGGTGAGATGCCTTTGAGGCATTCCCAGGGAGGTTGTTGACAGGACATTCTGGTTGGAGCTCACAGAAGGGAGCTCTGCTCTTGAGAGCTGTGCCTCAAAGTCCTGAGCGTGCATGGTAAGTGAAGTCATGGGCATGGATGGGATCAGCTAGTACAGAGAAAAGAGAATCCTGTACTTATTCTTGGGAAACTACAATTTTTAAAGATCTCATGAAGTAGGATGAGCTAGCCTAGATGGGAGAAGCATGGCCAGGGAGGTACAAGGGAGGAAAACCAGGAGGCTGTAGCAAAAACCATGGCCATGAAGTTACTCCATTCTCTCTTCCTTCAGCGATGCTTTCCTACATTGTAGAAGCAACACTTTTGCACCTAGGCTCCTGTTCATGAAATAGGCTCAACCAAAGAGACACACGCTTGTGCTGTTTGGAATTGGAAATGATCCGGAGGCCCCATTCTGTCCCTTCCAACTATTCTGCTGGGGTGGGAGCACAGAGACTTGAGGTTTTTCAGCAGTGTTCCAGTTCCCACTTACCAGCCTTCTGTGTATGACAGGTACTTTGTTGCTGCAGGCCCAATGGAAGGTGTGACAGGAGAAGCAGTGGCCTGGCTTCCTGACCCCTGGATCAAAGGTGAGGAGTGTGTCCGAAAGTTGTGGGTTCCAGGGCAGACTCTAAGATAGGAGCCACCCTGGTGGAGTAGTTTAGTCTTCGTCATGTCCCGAGAGCCATTCCT